TTCGCTGGACAATTCACTCTCTAGATAATCTTTCACGCCGTTAAATATGTTTGAAATTCAATACTCGACACACAGTGCAAAGCCGTATCTGAGAGGGCGAAACTAATGTTTTTTGCTTTTTTTCCACCTTGTCTTCCGCCATGTTTGTTTGACTGTTTCGAACGAAAGTCGCGTTTCAAAAGCGATCTTCTCGATTGGTGATGTTTCAACTTCGAGGAAAGTAAATTTAATATTTCTTCTCTTTCTCTCTCTCTCTCTCTCTTTTTCTCTGAGAATAAAAATTTATATTTCGCAATTTATGCAAGTCAATTTCAATTAACCTAAAATGGCCGGCTGTTGTCATATTTTGTAGAGATTTCAGATATCAATCGTCACGTACTGCCGAAATAACTACAATATATGCAAAATATTTTTTTTTTTTTTTTTTTTTTAGAAATTAAAGGTATAGAATAACAATGATCAATCTTGGCGATTTTGACACGATTGTCGAGAATCCTGGAGTTTGTTGAATAAATAAGAATCAAAGTTTCTCAGTATGGATCGCGTACGATTGAAATTTAATTAATTCAGCAACCAGTTTGCCATCAAAGGATTATTTTCGAATTAATTTTCTTTATGACTTATTGTCATCAACCCGTGTAATTCATCAACATGTAATTCTTATTATTCAAAAAGTGAATTTCTGGCCTGGAGGAAACCTAAAAGGCCATTAACTTCAAAATAAGTCTAAATAAGCTTCCATTATGGAAGAATGTGATATGATAAGCAAAGGATGTGACATGATAAGCAACGAATAAAGTTTTTAAAACATTTCATAAAAGAAAATTGAAACGCACAAACATAAAATAATTTTAATGGAAGCTTTCTCTATGATACTTAGATCATTTTTACATTGTTATAAAATACAAAAAAAGATACCTAACAAATTCAGAATATAATTTGGGCTCGTCTTAAGATGAAATGTAAACAGTTCAGTACTAAGTTCTGTACTAAGTCTGGAATTAAGGTTGCATAAATCCGACAGATGTTTTCTTTTGAAAATAGTTATAGAAGATAGTATAGAAGTATAGAAAATAGTATAGTTATGGATAGTATAGTAAATGGTATAGTTGTAGAAGATAATATAAAAGTATAGAAAATAGTGTAGTTATAGATAGTATAGAAAATAGTATAGTTATAGAAGATAATATAGAAATATAGAAAATAATATAGAAAATATAATACAGTTATAGAAGTATAGAAAGTAGTATAGTTATAGAAGATAGTATAGAAGTATAGGAAATAGTATAGTTAATTAGAAAACAGTAGTTATTTAGAAAACAGTATATGAGTGATAACGAGACGTATTGAAAGAATTTTCGTCGTGTCTGATTTGGCCGATTACTTTCACCCCCTCTGGTGGAAATAGTTCAGTGATATTTTTTCAGCACCCGGCGCGTTCGCAACGAAATCGCCGGAATACCAATCAACGAGAGTGTTGGTAATTAGCAGACGCTTTGTATTTACCGTTATCACGATGAAGTGCCAGTTTCTCTTCATTTTTTATCAGTATTGTTTTCGTATTATCAGTATTGTTTTTGTATTATCGATGATAATGCGGTATTTGATCGGTGTTTTCGTCAAAACTTTTACAAGGTAGATCTCAAACTGTTTACATTCTTCTTTCTTTTCTTATCATTCTGTGAAGTGTATTCGCGAATTTAGCGAATGTGAACGCCATTTACGTAACAGTAGGAGATAGAATTTTTTTTACTGCTTCGCGCGAAGGACGTATGTTCGAACTAACTCGGTTAGAAGTACCGTCTTATTGCTTTGACCTTGACGTTTACTCGTGTCTTTTGGAAAATCATCGAGACGCAAAGAATACACTCGCTCCTACGATAAAGGTGTCGTTCACATGAAAAAAATGTACGAATAATTTTCGAACAATCTTCGAGTTTGTAGGTTATGTTACTTTCAAATTTAAAGATAATTTCGGAATTTGTAATATTTTTAATTGAAATGATCTACTTATCGATACTTGTTAATTCAGTTATCGACGTTACAATCTTGATATTGTAGGATTCTTACGCCATTTGTACAGATTTGCTTATCGAACGATTCCAAGAATTTCCTGTGCTTCTAATAAAAAGTCTTTGCCAACTGATCGAGAACTGTAGCACGCCAGTTGCGAGTGAGCGTCCTTTTCTTTTTCTCCCGTTCTCGAACAAGTTCTCGAAATGAATCAATCCTGTTTGACCAGGCATCAGTCGATAATGTAGCTTTTTTTCTACTATACCTTTATACATTTCCGTGTTTGCTGAAGCAGAGAATATCGTTTGATATCGTTTGCAGAAAAAGAAGTTGCAATAAATCATAACTTTGTTCGTCCAGATAAGATCTTCCGTAAGCGTTACTGAGAAATAGAATTAGATAATTCAGTGAGAAAACTATATATATATTGTGACATAATACAATATTTATACTTGTATTTATACTTATAAATAATTATATTTATACTTATATTAAATAATTATATTTATATTTATACTTATAAATTTAGATTATATAATTATTATTTATTATCGTTTTAATTATTAATTTTATTATTAGATTATCTATTATTAGCTCTATTGTTATAATTGTATTTATTATTACTCTAATTTATTATTTATTAATAATTATTTATTATTTATACAATTATTATATAATATTTATTAATAATTATTTATTATTTATACAAGTATAATAATAATTATTATTTATTATTTATTATTATGAAAATTTATTATGCACTATATATTATACTTGTAACATAATGTAATATTTACTAAAAATATTATACTTATATTATTATACTATATATAACTATATAAAAATATTATACTATACATATTATACTTATAACATAATATTTTATATTTATAGATGCTCTCAATCGACATAGTCCGTAGTTTATATATATAATAATTTATATATAAATTCAAACTTACGGATAACACGCAAGTTGTGTGTCTTATCTGCTCAAAAATTCGCACCAATTACAATTTATTAAATTTATCAGTCGATAAACATAATTGGACTTTTCTAAATATGCTCGCATTTCACGATCGGAAACTATAGATCTTCCTCGATATTTATTAAATTCTTGCTAATATTGACTTAATTCAAGATGGAATCCCACATTTCTAATCGTTTCCATCTGCGATACGATCGATAATATATCTATTCGATATGATAAAATAAATAAAACAATAATATAATAATCGTAATTCTCCATTTCTAATTGGTTCCATCCGCGATACCATCGGCTAATAAATCTAATTTCGAGATGTAAAAATAAGTAAAAATAATAACAACAAAATAATAGTATAATAATTATAACGTAATTTAATATTCGACAGTATCGAACATGATTATTGAATTTAATTTTGCGAAATGAAATTTTCACTTGGCCCGGCGTAACAAACGTGTAGTTCTCGTTTTTGAAGCCCGTAGATAACCACGTAGAAAACGCCTGAGAAGGACAGAATTTATGCAAAACAGTGCGAAAGGAAATCGTAAATGTCACGTACTTATCGCGTTCAGTTTAATAACGTGGAACGTGGTTTTTCAAAACCTCGTGTGCATAAAGAGGCACGCACATATCGCCGGAAACGTGTATATATCTTATCGTTTCCCCTTTGTAGCCAGTGCTTTAGCACACGACAGCAGCGTACACTTTCCTAATTTTGTAAGCTCGTTCGTTTGTAAACATCTCGGTCGAGAAAAGAAGGCCAGGGAAACCTGAGAAGGGAGTGCAAAGTCGTCTCGACGTCTGTCGAACTGTGTGAAAAATTACCTTTTGTAAGTTCACTGAAATCCATTTGCAATTATCACTGAAAATAACTAGCGATTAACTTAACGCCAGAACTATCGACAACTGAAGAGTAAAATTTCTATCAGAGACGTTAGAAGTAGAAGAAGAACAGAGAATCTTTATAGTACAAAAGGGTACAAACAAACTTTTATTTATGTATTTTATTTTATTTGTGAAGAATCATTGAAGTCTCCAAAAATATACGCTATATCTATGATATCTACAAAATATCTAACAAAAATATTCAAATGATCAATTTTGGTAGTTCTAGTGCTGCAGCCAGTTCCCAATCTTTTTTCTCTCCTGTATCCTTTGATTAGGCCTTTCATTTGTGAGTACCTCCTCATCTCATAAACCCCTAAAAACTTCCACACAAGTCAGCCCTTTGTAAATCAAAAAACTCTCTGTTTTGTGTTTTCATTTCAACTCCTTTTTTTCTTTTTTGGTGTTTTCCGCCATTTCCAGTATTATTTTCCCCTGGGGGTTGAATTAGAACTGATGTTCTAGTCAACATTAATCTCCTGCGCTGACAACTAGGTGCACGGACCATAACGAGTGACCAAACTGTACACAATAATTCGTCGCTTTCTTTTTGAACTACCGTCGGTATGACATCACTGGATAGAAAGGATTACTTATTAGTGGATTATTTATCACTAAGAAGTAATAAAGTTATTATTTGTTTTGCCTAGGTTATATTTAAATATATTTGAAACTGAGACATATTGCAATTTTCGGACGAAAAATTGTCGACGTGCGTGGCGCGTCATTTCAGCACAGGAGGTTAATTAATATTAGTCAATATCAGTTTCTCCCGTGCACGCGAATCACTCATTCGCACTCTTTTGTTCGCAGCTGTCGGTATAATGAAGCCATCCATGAAAATGGGGGTGGTAGCCTTAATCGGTCTGTTCGTGGTGTTCTACCAGTATCACTTGTCCACCAGCGTCCGATTCGATCAAATGGCGGACTTCAACGGGGCCGGCTCCGCGGAAGACGGCCCTGTTCTCTCCCAGGAGGAGGTGGAGCGCTATGTAAGGACGTCGAGGCTCACGGAGGAGATGGTAAACACGAAAGATTCGGGGAAACTTCTCCGTTTGCCGACGTAACTGGCAAATGCCCGTGACATTTGATCTCTGTCGCTTGTTGTCTTACAGATCAAAAGCGCCGTGCGCAGGGTTCAAGAAAGCAACGGGCTCAGCCCGGACGTGGCGTCGACGTTGGTGCAGCAGCTGGTGAATCACCTGAGGAGGAACGCGTTCGAGCTGCCCGAGAACAATTCGAAGATCACGCGACCCGCGTTCACCGGGCGACTCGAGCCCAGTCGGAACGCCACGTCGAGCCAACGCAGCCAAGAATCGTCGTCGTCGTCGTTGGTTAGTTTGTCGGAGGGAACACCGGAACCGTTGTACATAATCACGCCGACGTATCGCCGGCCGGAACAGATACCGGAGCTCACCAGGATGTCGCACACTCTGATGCTGGTGAAGAACGTTCACTGGCTGGTTATCGAGGATGCGGCCGTTGCCACGAAACAAGTCACAAGGCTGCTGGAGCGAACAGCACTAAAGTTCGAACACCTCACCGGTACATCCAAATGAGAATTAACCCATTCATGCGCCAGTCATTATGTGTATTTTGTGGACAAAAAGCTGACTAGATGATATGGTGATGATATGGTAGTAAAGAGAAGAATGAAAAATATCACTATAAATTTTCTAAAAAAAAATTTTTTTAGTAAACAAACAAAAGATTGTACATATATATATATTTGAAAAGAAAATCTATTCATTACTGTCGCTGTTGCTACACTTTTCAAAATTATTTTTACGTTTGCCCATGCTTAGTTGCAAACAAAATTATTTCGTAATTAATTAAAACAGTGAAACTGTTCCGTAATTATATGGAATAATTATTATTCGAAATGAATCGCAATGCAACACAGCGTTATCCCGACTATTAATTTGCACGCGTTAATGCATATTATTGCCACAAAAATACACCGCGAGTCTCACTCGTTATTCTGCGCGAATGGGTTAATGCCTTTGCCTTCGGCAAACTTCTTTTCGCGTCAGTGATTTATTTACGAGGCATCACTTCGTAAATAAAATGATACGGCATTGGAAATAATCATTCAAATGGCATAATCATTCAATGGTACATGACACTTTCTTGATTACATGTCTTTCGAACGTGTGATTATCGTTTGAATCGCCAACGTGCATCGCGGATTTAGGTTAGGTTAGATTAGGTTAGGCTAGAACATGTAGGTTGGGATAGCTCAGTCAATAGAGCATCAGACTCTTAATCTGAAGGTCCAGGGTTCGAGCCCTCTGTTCGGGCGAAAAAAAAAAAAAGACATTGTCCTTCAGGACAACAGCACAAGGAGAGCTCTGTGTGTATAAAAAGGTCCTGGAACTCTCCCAACGTGCGGAGGACGGCCATCGTGGAGGTTTTAGTCTGTAAGAATCCGACACTACCTGGTGGTCTTTTCTTAAAAGACTTAGGTGTCTTATAAAGATTTCCTCCACGTAAAAAAAAAAAAAAAAAAAGGTTAGACTAGAACAATAATATGCAAGAGTTAATGATACATAGTTTCAATGCTGGAGAAATAGTATCATCCGCCATTTTTTTCAACTTTCCTAAGAAGCAGTAAGATGTCCAATTTATGTGAATTATATTCCGAATTATGTGAATTATTCCAATGAGTGTCAACTGTCTTCAGAAATTTCTTCTTCTGAAATATAATACTTTTGTTCTTCTTAACGTTATTATAGCTTTCACTATCAGGCATTTGTTCAAATATTATACTGTTACACATCGCATCGTACAACACCAAATGTATATTATATGTTGGTATAATTATCAGCAAATTATAAAAAGAGAAAATCCAAACTATTGGCCAGATTGAAGCACGTGATGTCTCCTCAGAAAGGACAGTCGAGTGCAAAGAGTCAAACAAAACAAAAAATAAGAAAATTAGATTAGAATTCAGTGTCAGAATTGTAAGCAATTAGAGTGTCAAGAGCAGTTTTGTTGTGATACCTGTTTTAGTCGTATCTAAGGACATCTCGTTTCGGGAAACAACTCTTGTTTCTCAAATTAGGTGTATTTGTTTATCAAATTTCTCCAAGTACGAAGAGATATAAAAATAGGGGAAAACAACTGAAAAGAAAAAAAAACGCAAGGAGATTTCGATTCAAATAAATGTATCGATTGCTTCTATCGATATGGATTGCCGACATTAAGACGAATTTAAAAATCGCGCTATTGATACGAACTGCCAACAATAAAACAAACATAACCTCTTAGCTGTGGCGCCGTTTAAAAGTGTGTTTCCATTGTGTCACTGGAACGACGATTATACTCGTCAAACACAATATGTACAGCTGCTGTAAAACTCAATTAAAGGAAATGACGCTAGTTTTTTTTTTAAATCAGTAATTTTATTGTTTAACTTAATTTTAATTAATAATAATTAACACTATAGACGATTGAAGTATTCTAAAATTTGGAAAATTTACAAATATGTTTTATTTTCCACAAAGAATTTAATTTAAGTAGCAAGTTGTAATTGCTCTTCTCGCACGACGAGTATACTTGTCATTCACAGCTAGAGGTTAAAAATCGCACTATTCGAATGAACCGCTAACAATAAGACAAACTTAACCTCCAAAATTGAATTAAATTGTGAGGAATGACACTGGTTTAAAAAGAAAAGCAACAATTTTATTGTTTAACAAAATCAATATCAATTAATGATAATTAATAGCAAGAAGATATTTAGAAATGATGTAAAAAAACCTAGAACGAGTCCAGCCGCAAAATATTCTAAAATGTCTAAAATTTGCAAATATATTTTATTTTTCCTAGAGGAATTTAATTTAAGTAACAAACTGTATTTTTCTCGCACGACGAGTATACTCGTCATTCACATCTAAGAGGTTAAAAATCTCTTCATTCGTATCGTAGACTCGTGTCGTTCCCCAAATTTTGGCGTAATTTTGAAAAATAAATTCGCGAGTGTGCACGGTACATAAATAGTTGCAATGAAAATTAATTTTGTTGATCGATTGTCATCGGGAATTAATTCGAACAGTCGCAAAGGGTCCCGATGAGAAAGCGTTGTATTGATTTTGTTGGCTGGTAGTTCGCGCAGTTTAATTATATGCAGTCGTGATGTCCGACTTTCCGAATCGGGGAATCGTGTCAGCCGTCGGCGACCACGATTCGGCCGATTTATAGTCAACGATCTGATAATTTTGTAACTAACTTTCCTCTTTCTAGCTCCGATGCCTGAGAAGTACAAGCAGAAGAAGGGTGCCAAACCGCGAGGCGTGTCCAATCGGAATCGCGGCCTACAGTGGATCAGGGCGAACGCGACCGACGGCGTCTTTTATTTTGCCGACGACGATAATACCTACGATATAGCTCTTTTCAACGAGGTATTAATTCCTGACTCTCGAATTCGCAGAGGAACTGTTGCTCATCCAAAAAAACATTGTGTTAATAGTACACATAAAAATATCTTGTCAATAACATTTTAATTGTATTTATATTTATAATCATAAGCTTAAGTACGAGTTATGTTTTAATTGTACAGGCTGTTCCATATTAAGCCAACCACGCGATTTTCTCTTAAACTATAGAGAAAAATGCTTCAAATAAAACTTACGTTGTTTTCAGGGAGAGACACTTGGTTGTGTTTCTGAGATTTCAAGGTGGTCTTTCTCTCTTTTAAATGGAACTATATATTTTATGTAGGTGGTGACGTCATTCAGCGACCTAAATAACAAAGTTGGTGTTCAAGATCATTCAATGATTCTGTCCCTAAACAACAAGTTGCCCCTTTTCCAATGTCTCGGAAGTAATTTGTTGGCAAGTGTCTCTTATACGTTTTTTTTTTTTTTTCATATTGTTTCTTCCCGAAATATCTGACTTTTTGGAACGCCACGCAAGAAAAATATTTAGAGGCGTCAAATCCAAAGATCTTGATGGGAAGTATACTCAACTTCCTCTTCTTATCCAACGACTGTTATATCAACTCAAAAACGTACAATTTCGTTTAAAAAGTACGAAGGTCACCTTGAAATGTCGGAAGCACGACCATCTAGGCAAGACGTAAAATGTCCCTCTCGAAACAGTGCAAATTTTATTTGAAACATTTCTCTCTGTATAGTGTAAGAGAAAAATACGTGGTCAGCTTCATGTGGGACACCCGGTATGTTACAAGCTCGGGTCAATAATATTTTAACACTACCAAAACGGTTGAAATGGCGAATTTGTCACTTTTGTTGGAAATAGTTTAAGTTTATAGACGTGAAATGACATATCTTTAAAAATTTAAATGATTTTTTGAAAAATGAAAGCAGATGAAAGCCTGTGTGGTTGGATTACTTATCGTTTTTTACTTTAACATCTCTTACGGAAACTTCACGTTCAGCAACGTACGCGCCGGTAGTCCTAGTGTTAAAACAGATGTTTCGATTACAAGCTCGAGGCCAATCACTTTCCAAAAATACCAGAAATAATAAGTCGTCACGTAGGAATTGATTTTATTTAACAAAGCGAGATATATGTATATTTCACATGGAATCGTGTATTTCAGATTCGCAAGACGAAACGTGTCTCCATGTTCCCCGTGGGTTTGTGCACCAAGTTCGGCCTCAGCTCGCCAATCATCAAGAACGAGAAGTTCGTCGGGTTTTACGACGGCTGGATAGCCGGCCGGAAGTTCCCGGTCGATATGGCAGGTTTCGCCGTTAGCGTCAAGTTCCTGCTTCAGAGGCCGAACGCGTCGATGCCGTTCAAGGCCGGCTACGAGGAGGACGGTTTCTTGAAGAGTCTGGCGCCGTTCGAGCCGAAGGAGATCGAGTTCCTCGCCGACAATTGCACCAGGGTGCTCGCCTGGCACACGCAGACGAAGAAGAACGAACCGAGCGCGCCACTCGACATGAAACTGTACGGTGAAACGAACCTCGTTAAATTGAAGCAGCAAATAGTATGATGTAGCCTGACTGACTGCGGCCGCGCTTTCAAGTTCAATCTCTGATTTTAATCTCGTTACCAAGTACGACGAACAAAGTGATTCAGTGCCTGAAGTATTGTGAAGTACGATCGGCGTGTAGCAATGATCATTCTTCCCTCTTTTTCTCCTTGTCACGGACTTTTCGCTTACCCTCGAGAGAAGTCCTGTAGTTTGTTTGAAATGGACCGGTTGCTTGCCTGCTTTTTCTTCTTAACACTAGAATTATCGACGGCTATAAAGTATAAAGGTTGAAGAAATCAAAGAAATTAGAGTGCAAGGAGTAGGGACAGGACTTTATAGAACTTATGAGTTGGTCATTTTGACCACTTTGATGGTTTTCTAGTGTTAAAAATAAACTGTAGAATGAGTGATCAAAATGTGAGGGAGGGGAGGGATTGCGCAGATTATTTTCAAGCGACCGGCAAATTTGAAACAGAGCACATTGCGTTCTCTCAAGCTCAAAATTTTTAGAAGAAGAAATTTGTGCAAAGAAGAGGAAACATAGCCAAGATGTGATGATACGATTCTGTACTAACGTTGTGTGTTATTTCACGTATCGCTTTAATTTCAGTCATTACGATGATTAGTATGCAACGCGTAGAATAAAAATCAGTAAGTCGCGTAAGAGCGTGGATAGAAATAAGAGGACTGTGAGACAGGGAGAACTTTATACTGCTCGGGTATACATGTACAACTTCTTGCATTATCTTCCGTTTCGCCTTGCAAGTTGTTCGTTCTCCACTGTTTAGCTGTCCCAAGTTTGATACTTGATCGATTACTTTCTTTCTAAAACCACAAAGCGAACAACGTCTATTTGAGTTCTTGATCGAACAGTGTGAATGCAAGTTACCTTTATAGTACTTATTGTTGTACAAATATTGTTTTGTAGTATACGTGTACGTATTTCTATTGCATAGCGGCGTGATATATTTCTGTCAGACAACGAACGTGCGAGCGAATTTCGCGAAACACCT